GAGACCATCCTGGCCAACATGGTGGAACCCCATCTCTACTAAAAATACAAAAATTAGCTGGGCATTTGGCATGTGCCTGTAGTCCCAGCTACTTGGGAGGAGGAAGAATCGTTTGAACCTGGGAGGTGGAGGCTGCAGTGAGCTGCGACTGTGCCACTGTGCCCCAGCCTGGCAACAGAGCAAGACTCCGTCTCAAAAAATAATAATAATGATTCTCTGACAATAAATCACATGGTACACAGACTATATGATATAATCACAGAATATATGATAGTATTTTAAACTGAAAAAGCATTCATGATTACATGGATTGTAAAATATCAAATACATAAAATTCTTGAGATCCTAATAATGCTAGGAACAAAGCACATTTTGTTTTTACTAGGGCACCAATGTACTTTTTAAAAAGTTAGGGCCAGGCACAGTGGCTCACGCCTGTAATCCCAGCACTTTGAGAGGCCAAGGCAGGAGGATCACTTACGCCCAAGAGTTTAGGACCAGCCTGAGCAACATAGGGAGATCCTGTCTCTATAAAAAAATCAAAAAATTATCTGAGCATGGTGGCTTACGCCTGTAGTCCCTCCCAGCTACTCAGGAGGCTGAAGCAGGAGGATTGCTTGAGCCCAGGAGGCTGAGGCTGCAGTGAGTCATGATTGTGTCACTGCACTTGAGCCTGGGTAACAGAGCAAGATCCTGTCTCAAACAAAACAAACAAAACAACAATAAACCAAAAATGTTTAAACAATAAAATAGAGGACAGATATAATCACAAAATATAGACAGCATTTTAAATTGAAAAAGTGCTAATGACTACAATGGATTGTAAAACATCAAAGACATAAAATTCTTGAGTTCCTCATAATACTGATAACAAAGCACATTGGTCTTTGGCTTTTACTTGGGCACCAATGTACGCTGAAAAATGTCAGACTTCAGTTTTTAGAGCAGTTTTAAGTTCACAGCAAAATTGAGCAGAAGGTAGAGTTCTCATATGTCTCTTTCCTCCTCCCCCTGCCCCCAGCCTCCCCACTATCAACAGCCCACACCACAGCGGTAGATTTATTACAATCCCTGAACCCACATTGACACATCACTATCACCCAAAGTCCATAGCGTACAGCAGGGTCACTCTTGGGGCTGTACATTCCATGGGTTTGGATAAATGTGTAATGTTGTTTCCACCATCGAAGCATCAGGCAGAGTGGTCTCACTGCTCTAACAAAATCCTCTGCATGGCTATTCACCCCTCTCATTAAAGCCAAACAGTCTTTCTTTTTTCTTTTTCATTTTGAGAGACAGGGTCTCGCTCTGTCACCCAGGCTGAAGTGCAGTGGCAACCACGGCCCACTGCAGCCTTCAACTCCTAGGCTCAAGTGATCCTCCTACCTCAGCCTCCAGTGGCTAGGACTGCAGGCATGTGTCTACTGCACCTGGTTAATTCTTTGTAGAGATGGGGTCTTGCTATGTTGCCCAGGCTGGCCTTGAACTCCTGGTCCTGCCTCAGCCTGGGATTACAGGCTTGAACCACTGTTTCAACCTGCTTTTTTTTTTTTTTTTAAGAGATGGGGTTTCACCATATTGGTGAGGCTGGTCTCGAACTCCCGACCTTAAGTGATTCGCCCACCAAGGCCTCCCAAAATGCTGGGATTACAGGTGTGAGCCACTGCGCCGGACCTCGACCTGCTTTTAACACTGTTTTGACCTGCTTTTAAACAACTGACCCTTGGCTGCTTTCAAAGAGTCAGGGTTGGCCGGGCGCGGTGGCTCAAGCCTGTAATCCCAGCACTTTGGGAGGCCGAGGCGGGTGGATCACGAGGTCAAGAAATCGAGACCATCCTGGTCAACATGGTGAAACCCCGTCTCTACTAAAAATACAAAACATTAGCTGGGCATGGTGGCGCGTGCCTGTAATCTCAGCTACTCAGGAGGTTGAGGCAGGAGAATTGCCTGAACCCAGGAGGCGGAGGTTGTGGTGAGTCCAGATCGCGCCATTGCACTCCAGCCTGGGTAACAAGAGTGAAGCTCCGACTCAAAAAAAAAAAAAAAAAAGAGTCAGGGTGTCTGAAACTGACCCCTGCAGCAGCACCTTCCTTTCTACACACCTCCCAGTGGCCAGTGTGAGGATTGTCCTCACAAGAAACCACTGGAGCGGGCCTCTAGCCTGTCCAGGTTTGTGGCTGCACAAGGAATATCATGGACCTCTCTCAGGCCTCAGGAGGGGCTCTGGGCTGGGGAAAAGGTGGGAAAGCATCGAGGCAGTCCCACTCCTTCCCAGGTTCGGGCTAGACCTGGGGACAGCCTCAGCCATCTCCTCGCTGCGTCCACACATGTCCACCCCACCCCCACCCCCAGGCTGGCCCTCACCGAGGAGCAGCAGCTGATGTTTGAGAAGCTTACTCTGTATTGCGACAGCTACATCCAGCTCATCCCCATTTCCTTCGTGCTGGGTGAGCACCCCCTTCCTGCTGTTCCGGCTCCCCGTGGCCGCCCAGGCTCCAGACAGGCCGGGGGTGGACCACGAAGAGCTGGGTCTACGGGCTGGGGTGGGGGATGGAGGCACGCCAGCGGCAGGTCGGCGCCTCTCTGTAGTTCAGGGAAATGTGCGGACTGCAGCCAGAGACTGAAGTTACACCTTAGGTAAGACGTCCTGTTGTTAGGAAGCGCTGACATCATAGTCCCTGGAGCCCCTGCGCGGGAGGGGAGAGGCTCTGGCGGATTTCTGGGACCAGCAGGGGGACCCCCGGGAGACAGAACCCTTGGGGCTCTCGCGTTGGGGCTAGGCCTGCCCGCAGCAGAAGGCTGGAGCAGCTGAGGCGTCGCCGCGCCCTGGGCCCTGGGCTCTGGCCGCAGCCCGGCCCCTCGCCCCCGGCTCCTCCTGCCCAGGCTTCTACGTGACGCTGGTCGTGACCCGCTGGTGGAACCAGTATGAGAACCTGCCGTGGCCAGACCGCCTCATGAGCCTGGTGTCGGGCTTCGTCGAAGGCAAGGACGAGCAGGGCCGGCTGCTGCGGCGCACTCTCATCCGCTACGCCAACCTGGGCAACGTGCTCATCCTGCGCAGCGTCAGCACCGCGGTCTACAAGCGCTTCCCCAGCGCACAGCACCTGGTGCAAGCAGGTGGGCGGGGCGGGAGCGACTGGGCGGAACGGGGCGGAGCCAATGTGGAGATGGGCGTGGCCGGAATGGAAGATGGGTGGAGCCAAAGTCCCCTGGACTGTGGAGGTGGGGATTGGGTGGAGCCAGGAGTGGGGTGGGGCCAAGATTTGGGGGTCCAGTTGGGCAGGATAGAGTCGGGTGTCTAAAGGTGGGGCGAGGCCAGGAGCCCACTCTCCAAGAGTAGGAGTTTGAGGCAGGGCTAAGGACCCTTGAGGGATAAGGGAAAGAAGGGTGGCGGCTTGGGAACTGGTGAGGTACTAGGTTCTACCTCCCTCTGCCCGTGCCCCTCCTGATCTCCGATTTCCACTCTGGAGGTCTGCGACATCCGTCTCTGACTCCCCCCTTGGCCTTGCTTAACCTGGTCCTAGTTAATAAGACAGACCCAGGCTAAGCGTGGTGACTGTCGCCTGTAATCCCAGGGCTTTAGGAGGCAAAGGTGGGAAGATCGCTTGAGCCCAAAAGTTTGAGACTTCCCTGGGCAACATAGTGAAATCCCTATCTCTACAAAAACATTAAAAATTAGCCGGGCAGCCGGGCGCGGTGGCTCACGCCTGTAATCCCAGCACTTTGGGAGGCTGAGGCGGGTGGATCACGAGGTCAAGAGATCGAGACTATCCTGGTCAACATGGTGAAACCCCGTCTCTACTAAAAATACAAAAAATTAGCTGGGCATGGTGGTGCGTGCCTGTAATCCCAGCTACTCAGGAGGCTGAGGCAGGAGAATTGCCTGAACCCAGGAGGCGGAGGTTGCAGTGAGCCGAGATCGCGCCATTGCACTCCAGCCTGGGTAACAAGAGCGAAACTCCGTCTCAAAAAAAAAAAAAAAAAAAAATTAGCCGGGCATGGTGGCATGTGCCACTACGGTGGACCCAGTGTACAGGCACACTACGGGCCTGGTGGTATGTGCCTGTAGTCTGAGGCTAAAGATCGGGAAACTGAGGCAGGAGGATCACTTGAGCCCAGGAGTTCCAGGCTGCAGCAAGCTAGATCGCACCACTGCACTCCAACCTAGGTGACAGAGCCAGATCCTGTCTCTGGAAATAAATTAATAATAAATAAATAGATAAATACCCTGCCCACATGCTCAGCCCAGAATAGCACATAGTAGGTGCTCAGAATTTTTTGTTGTTGTTGAAAGAAGGAGGATGGCAAAGGAGTGCTCAGGTCTGTATAGGTCAGCAGGTCCTGGCCTGGCCGCCAGGTGCCAGCCACGTGCCTCCTGCAGGTTCTCCCACCCACTGCCTCCTTCGCTCCGCTCTGCAGGCTTTATGACCCCAGCAGAACACAAGCAGTTGGAGAAACTGAGCTTACCACACAACATGTTCTGGGTGCCCTGGGTGTGGTTTGCCAACCTGTCAATGAAGGCGTGGCTTGGAGGTCGAATCCGAGACCCTATCCTGCTCCAGAGCCTGCTGAACGTGAGCCAGGGCTGCCACAGGGTGGGAAGAGTTGGGTCCACAGGAAACAAGGTTTCCTACAAAGAGAAGGCTCGAGCCCTTGAGGGTCTTCCCAGAGCCTGAGGTAGGGTTGCAGAATCTTTTCCAACAGCATTCCATAGCCCGAGGTGGTCCCTTCTCATAGGCCCCTCCCTCCTCTCCCAGTCTGTGAGGTCCTGGCTCCTTTTCGATAGATGAGGAAGCTGAGACACAAAGAGGTTTAGACACAAAGCTGACCACACAGCCAGGGATGGACCATGAGCACCAGACCCTGGTGCCTGGAGAAGAGGTGGAGGTGAGCCCAGGGTGGGGGCAAGCCCAGGGTGGGAGCAGGTGGTGTTCAGAACCCCATCCCTTCCTGCTGCCCCCAGGAGATGAACACCTTGCGCACTCAGTGTGGACACCTGTATGCCTACGACTGGATTAGTATCCCACTGGTGTATACACAGGTGAGGAAGAGGCTAGTGAGGCTGCCCCTTTGGGAAACTGAGGCTAGAAGGACCAAGGAAGCAGCAGGGTTGGGAAAGGCTCACCTAGAGGCTGAGTAAATTGCTCCCCCTGGGAGTTGGGCCCTCACTTTGAAGTTGGGCCTGGACTTTGAAGTGCTGAGTTCTAAGAGTCCAGGCTCCTTCCTGGCTCAGTAGAGGCAGTGTGATTATCCCCATTTTAAAGAGAGGTTGGCCGGGCACAGTGGCTCACGCCTGTAAACCTAGCACATTGGGAGGCTGAGGCAGGTGTACTCCTCACTGAGGTCAGGGGTTGGAGACCAGCCTGGCCAATGTGGCGAAACCCGGCGTCTACTAAAAATACAAAAATTAGCTGGGCATGGTGGCACACGCCTGTAATCCCAGCTACTCAGGAGGCTGAGGCAGGAGAATCGCTTGAACCTGGGAGGCGGAAGTTGCAGTGAGCCGAGATCACACCTCTGCACTTCAGCCTGAGCAACAGAGTAAGACTCTGTCTCAAAAAAAATAATAATAAAATAAAAAAGAGGGTTAACAGAGACCCTAAGTCACATGAGTGTGCAAGTCAGAACAAGGCCTCGGTCTCCTGTCTCGGCCCCCAGCCCCAGGAGCATCTGATTCAGGGTTCCTACCTCGCCCTTTGCTGCCACACTCCTCCTCCTCCCAGGTGGTGACCGTGGCGGTGTACAGCTTCTTCCTGACTTGTCTAGTTGGGCGACAGTTTCTGAACCCGGCCAAGGCCTACCCCGGCCATGAGCTGGACCTCGTGGTGCCTGTCTTCACATTCCTGCAGTTCTTCTTCTATGTTGGCTGGCTGAAGGTGAGCCTCTCCAGGGCACCACTGGGCTGGAGGCACGGCCAGAGGGGTCATGGCCAGCAGCCACCTGAAACGAGGATGCAGTGTCAGGAAAGGAAGTTCTCACGGGTAGAAAGTGGCAAGCAGGGCCCCGACCACAGCCCTGTGGTCTGCACTTTCCCGTGTTGTTACTTTCTTGAGGCCTGGGTCTGCGTCTGGAGGCTGCACCCAAGGCCCAGACTTAGCAGCTTGAGGGACAGGGAGAGCTCAGTCTAACCACGTGCCACTCCCTCAAGAGAATATTCTTCAAACGTCTGTCTGGATAAAGGGGGATTCATGGAATAGGAGTGGCAATGGCAGGCCCCACTGGTGAGGCTGTTAAAATGCAGGCTTTGAATGAAGAGACCCCCAAACAGGCTTTGTGTGAGTAACGTGGCTGTTTATTCACCTGAGGCCAAAAAGGGCGTCAGCGAAGGGCGGTGGGATAGGACTTGGTTTTATAGGTTTGGGGCAGGCAGTGGAAAGTTACCGAGTAAGATCAGCTACAGTGGTGGGGTTGGGGCAAGGAGTATATGTTACCACCGTAAGTTCAGTTACAATGGCGGGTGGGACAAGGGTAGTTAATATGGTAGGGTGGGGTGAGGAGTATTCACATTATCATAACAGTTAAGATGGCAGAGTGGGGTGAGGGGAAGCTTATGTTGGGGGGGTGGAAGCTCCGCTGGGCAACGGGGGGTGTGGTGATCAGCGGAGGCAGGCAGGACTTTAGACTTTCTGGGTCCAGGCTTGCACATGGAGGCCTCACAGAGGCCACTTCTCATCTCTGCTTAAAACAAAGCCCGGAGGCTGGGCATGGTGCCTCACACCTGTAATCCCAGCACTTTGGGAGGCCAAGGCAGGCGGATCACCTGAGGTCAGGAGTTTTTAAGACCAGCCTGGCCAACATGGTGAAACCCTGTCTCTACTAAAAATACAAAAATTAGCTGGACGTGGTGGCAGGTGCTTGTAATCTCGGCTACTTGGGGGGCTGAGGCAGAGAATTGCTTGAATCCAGGAGGCGGAGGTTGCAGTGACCCGAGATCGTGCCATTGCACTCCATCCTGGGTGACAGAGCAAGACACTGTCTCAAAAAAGAGATTTTTTGAGGCAGATTGGCACCACCTCTCCTTATTCAAGATGCCTGTTGGGGGGTCTCGTTCCCCACCTTAAGTGGCTGGTGTTTCCTTCCACCACACCCAGTACTCTGAACAGGAGTTCTGAATCACAGTGTTCTCTCTACCTCTTTGTCTTTCCTTCCGTTATCCACCCACTCTCTCTCCCTTCCTACCCTCCTTTATTTTTTGGTAGTGGGGGTGGAAGTCTCCCTCTCTGCCCTTCCTGTCCATGTCTCTCTCTCTCTCTCTCTCTCTCTCTCACACACACACACACACACACACTCCTATTCCTCTAAATTCCACCTGTCCCCCAGTTATCTTTGATTTCTACAAATCAAAACAAATCACACTTTTATTCTTGAAATTCTCCAAGGTGCAGCTGGGTGAGGTGGCTCACACCTGTAATCCCAGCACTTTGAAAGGCTGAGGTGGGCAGATAACCTGAGGTCAGGAGTTCAAGACCAGCCTGACCAACATGGAGAAAGCCCATCTCTACTAAAAACACAAAATTACCCAGGCGTGGTGGCACATGCCTGTAATCCCAGCTACTCAGGAGGCTGAGGCAGGAGAATTGCTTGAACCCAGGAAGCGGAGGTTGCGGTGAACTGAGATCACTCCATTGCACTCCAGCCTGGGCAACAGAATGAGACTCCATCTCAAATTTTAAAAAAAAGAAAAATTAATAAGAAAAAAAAGAAATTCTCCAAGGTGCCCCAGTGGCCTACAAGATGTCCCCTGGACCCCTAAGGCAGCTTGTCACCTCTTTGGAGCTTTGTTAGGGCATTTTAGAGATTACTATCCAGGAATCTGCCCTCCTGGACTGCCCTTTAGTTCAGCACATCTTCAGAGTGTATCTCTATTGCATGAATGAATACAATTATGCAGCAGGATAAGATGCATGAGATGAGATAAAGGTGTGACTCCTCCGAGTGACACACTCAGGGACAGCTGTGGGTGTGCAGGGAAGGACTGGGTCAGGAGAGTCAGAGGGCCTGTGTCCAGAAGTGTGTGGTGCCCATAAGTGTCGGGGCCTGGAGCCCTAAACTCTGGCTTTGAAGACAGTGGTCAGGCAGGAAGGGTGTGATGGGGTGTAGAAATGGCAGCCCTGAGTTTAAGGGGGGAGGCTGGCATTGAGGAGTTCTGTCTGAGGGTTTACAGAGCCTCACCTGTCCCCAAGGTGGCAGAGCAGCTCATCAACCCCTTCGGAGAGGATGATGATGATTTTGAGACCAACTGGATTGTTGACAGGAATTTGCAGGTATGGAGAGAGGGAGAGGCCATACCATGGACCTTCCCCAAAGGGGCCCAAAGACAGGACCCCACTGTTCTGCAGGGAGGCCTCACAGTGAATTATCACCCCTTCCCCTTGTCCCTCCTGCAGCCAGTCCTTCACTCACAGGATTCTCACCTCAATCTTTGAGGTGGCAGGCAGGCACCCATCTCCTCATTTCACAGGCAGGGAAACTGAGTTGCAGAGAGAGGGAAGTGATTCCTCCAAGTCATCAGGCAAGCACAAGCTCCTGCCTGGCATGACCTTTCTGTGGGACTTCTCCTACTGTCCCTGGTGACCAGGTGTCCCTGTTTGCTGTGGATGAGATGCACCAGGACCTGCCTCGGATGGAGCCGGACATGTACTGGAATGAGCCCGAGCCCCAGCCTCCCTACACGGCTGCTTCTGCCCAGTTCCGCCGAACCTCGTTTATGGGCTCCACCTTCAACATCAGGTGTGGCCAGTGCCGGGGGGCTGGGTGGGAAGCCCCTCTAGAGCAGGGGTCTGCCTAGGAGCTTGGAATAGCGCTAGGTAATACATACTGGGTGCCTCGTAAGTGTCAGGCACTGTACTATGCTTTTAATATATATTAACTATTGTTTTCCTCCCAAGTTTTCAGATGATTAAAGTACAGGTTCAGGTTCAGAGAGAGCAAGTTGCCCAAGGTCACATAGCTAGCAAATGGTGCACGTGCTACCAAAAGGACAGCCAGTGATCAGTGATGCCGTGGAACATAAGGACCTGGCTTCTTCTGTCATCCAGAACTATATTTTCTTTTTTCTTTCTTTCTTTCTTTTTTTTTTTTTTTTTTGAGATAGGCTCTTGCTCTGTCATCCAGGCTGGAGTGCAGTGGTGTGATTTCAGCTCACTTCAGCGTCTGCCTCCTGGGTTCAAGTGATTCTGCTGCCTCAGCCTCCCAAGTAGCTGGAATTACAGGTGCCCATCACCATGGCCAGCTAATTTTTGTACTTTTTGTAGAGACGGGGTTTCACCATGTTGGCCAGGCTGGTCTCGAACTCCTGACCTCAAGTAATCTGCCCGCTTTGGCTTCCCAAAGTGCTGGAATTACAGGTGTCAGAACTATGTCTTCTGATAAGCTAGGGTGCTTGGATAGGAAGCGGAAGTGAGGTTCCCTGGGATGGGGGAGGAGCAGCAAATACGTCCCAGCAGGCAGCCATGTCATCACAGGTACCTCCTGAATTGACTTTGTCCTACAGAGTAAAGGCCTCAGGCTGCCCACAGCAGCCAGACTTACCTCCACATGGACCCACTTCCCTGATTCGATCCAAATCCCTCTTGATCTGCAGTGGGCTGAAGGGCTGTCCCAGGGGGTCCTGTCTCCCCAGGATGACAGAGTTGAGAGGGCTGTGGAGAGGGCTGGGCACACGTCGGGGTTTATAGTCAAGGTTTTCTTCCACAGTACCCAGTGCTATTCTCCACTTGTTCATTTTTGTTTGCTTTGTTGGTTTTTTGAGATGGAGTTTTGCTCTGTCACAAAGGAAGGAGTGCAGTGGTGCGATCTCAGCTCACTGCAACCACCTCTTCCCGGGTTCAAAGGATTCTTTTGCCTCAGCCTCTGAGTAGCTGGGATTGCAGGTGCCCGCCACCATGCCTGGCGAATTCTTGTATTTTTAGCAGAGACAGGGTTTTACCGTGTTGGCTAGGCTGATCTCAAACTCCTGACCTCAGATGATCCGCCCGCCTCAGCCTCCCAAAGTGCTGGGATGACAGGCGTGAGCCACTGCGCCCAGCTGCTTGTTCTTTTAAAAATCAAACATCCTACTAAACTGCAATCAGATTAACTAGTCGATAGTTGGTGTAAGGGTTGGGAAGGTGATCAAATGAAGGCTGGGGGCTGGCTTAAGTCAGAAACATTTCTGGAGGATGACTTTGAGCCCTACATGATCTGTACCCCAGTAGCTGAAGGTTGAGGAGGGGGAAAGGCTAAAAACAGGATAAAAGGATAAAGTGTAGACCTTGTCTCCAAGGAATACACTATTTACACAGGGAGATCAAACCCAAGCCCCAAACTCTGTATACAAGGTTACAAAGTACTGGATGTCTAGGAAAGGGATAGAACGTGGAACACAGTCACCTTTGGCTGCCTGAGAGGTGGCTTCCAGCCGGGTCTGGAGCTGGGTCTTGGAACATGGGGAGAATTTGAACGGCAGGCCATAGTCTGTGGTAGCTAAGCTGTCCCTTACAGGGTAAAGGTCTTGGGCTCCCAGGATGCCTGTTGCCAGGAAGCCAAACTTCTCTTTGTGGATGTCACTCCCAGTTGGAACCACAAATCTCTGGCATTGTCAGAGTCACTCATGGGCCTGATCTGAACCACTCATGCCAGGGGACCAGTGGTTCTGACTGCCTGGAGCGAGGGGTTTTAAAGGAAGCAGTGAATGATGAGGAAGAGGCCTTTACATGCCAGGTGGAGGTAGGGGTGGGGGTTGGATGTTAACTCTGGTCAAGAGGAAGTCAAAGAACAGTGAGGTGAGCCGGGCCCGGAGGGGTCACCGGGAGGTACAGAGGGACCAGGAGAGAGGTGAGAGCCAGGGCATTGTGTGGCCTTGGCTTGGGGCAGCTGAGAGAGAGGAGGAGGTAAGGGAGAAGTAAGGCCAGGAATTGGTCCTTTGTCCACCTGCTCAGCCCTGCATCTCTTGCTTCTTTCCAGCCTGAGCAAAGAGGAGATGGAGTTCCAGCCCAATCAGGAGGACGAAGAGGATGCTCATGCTGGCATCATTGGTCGCTTCCTAGGGCTGCAGTCCCATGATCACCATCCTCCCAGGACAAACTCAAGGACCAAACTACTGTGGCCCAAGAGGGAATCCCTTCTCCATGAGGGCCTGCCCAAAAACCACAAGGCGGCCAAACAGAACCTTAGGGGCCAGGAAGACAATAAGGCCTGGAAGCTTAAGGCTGTGGACGCCTTCAAGTCTGCTCCACTGTATCAGAGGCCAGGCTACTACAGTGCTCCACAGACACCCCTCAGCCTCACGCCCATGTTCTTCCCCCCTGAACCATCAGCGCCGTCCAAGCTTCACAGTGTCACAGGCATAGACACCAAAGACAAAAGCTTAAAGACTGTGAGTTCTGGGGCCAAGAAAAGTTTTGAATTGCTCTCAGAGAGCGATGGGGCCTTGATGGAGCACCCAGAAGTCTCTCCTGTGAGGAAGAGAACTGTGGAGTTTAACCTGACAGATATGCCAGAGATCCCCGAAAATCATCTCAAAGAACCTTTAGAACAATCAACAAGCAACATACACACTACACTCAGAGATCACGTGGATCCTTACTGGGCCTTGGAAAACAGGTCTGTCCTCACCTGAACTAGAGTCACTGCATTGCCCTGTGCATGACCCCTCTTTCCCACACCCTATCTTCCCTTGCTCTGAGCCTACCTTTCCTCCACAATTTCCTAGGGTCCATCACTGCCAGAGCACGCTGGACCTACACCCAGCACTAGCTTGGAGTATAGACTTGGCCACCTCCACAGGGGTCCTAGGGAAGTGTTAGGGACCTTTTCTCACTTCATCCAAGAGCCTGGTATCACCAGGAAGATCTATTGGGACCAGGTGAAGGAAGATGAGGTTGCGCTGACCAGGATGCCGCTGAAGGAACAAGTGACCAGGCTTAGCTGAGCAGGTGTTATCACTGGCCCCAACTTACTTTGGTAGCTGACAGAAAACCATGGGGCGGCAGTCAGCTGCATGACAGATGAACACTTCCCCATAACCGTTTAGGGTAGTACCCAAGTACTCCAGGAAAAGGTGGCAGGCACTGCCTCACTCCCTGGAACTAGTGATGGTGAGGTTGAGGGTGTCCAGGGCCCTTAGGCCATTTTCTCACTGCCTGGGGGACCTCACCAAAATACTTCATGCTTCCTTGGGGTCAGCCCAAAGCTGTCACAAAACCAGATATTTCTCTTTATTCCAGATTTCCCGGGCACTTTCACCCAATTAGAAACACCCCGCTTCATCCCCAGTCATGTGGAGAGGAAGTATAACTTCCCTTTTCTCAATTCTCAAGCAGTTACTTTTATGGTCAGAACACCCAGCTGTTATGATTGAAAACTTAAAAGGGCAACAAATTCAGTCTTGCTTCTAGGGCTAGACAGGAATTTTACAAACACCTGTGGCTTGTTTAGGAAAGGATGTTAATATTTAAGAATCTGTGGCTGGGTGCGTGGTGGCTCATGCCTGTAACCCCAACACTTTGGGAGGCAGAGGCGGGCGGATCAGAAAGTCTGGAGTCTGAGAACAGCCTGACCAGCATGGTGAAACCCCGTCTTTTACTAAAAAATACGAAAATTAGCTGCGTATAGTGGCGCGTGCCCGTAGTCCCAGCAGGAGGCAGAGGTTGCAGTGAGCCAAGATCTCGCCACTGCACTCCAGCTTGGGTGACAGAGACTGTCTCCAAAAAAAAAAGGCCAGGTGTGGTGGCTCACGCCTGTAATCCTAGCACTTTCAGGTGGATCACAAGGTCAGGAGATCGAGACCAAACTGGCTAACATGGTGAAACCCCATCTCTACTAAAAATACAAAAAAAAAATCAGCTGGATGTGGTGGTATCTGCCTGTAGTCCCAGCTACTCGGGAGGCTGAGGCAGGAGAATCACTTGAGCCTGGGAGACAGAGGTTGTGGGCCGAGATCGTGCACTTCAGCCTGGGTGACAGTAAGACTGGGTTGAGTGTGCAGGCTCATGCCTGCAATCCCACCAAGGCAGGTGGATCACTTGAGGTCAGGAGTTTGAGACCAACCTGGCCAACATGATGAAACACTCTACCAAAAAATACAAAAATTAGTTGGGCGTTATGGCACATGCCTGTAATCCCAGTAACTCAGGAGGCTGAGAGAATTGCTTGAACCGAGGTGAAGGTTGCAGTGAGCCAAGATTGAGCCACTGCACTCCAGCCTGGGCAATGGAGTGAGACCCTGTCTCAAAAAAAGAAAAAAAAGGAAACTTGCCCTCCTACTGCAAAATTTTAGTACAGTATTTGAAATGATGGTACCTTCCATACTTACGCCATTTTCTCTCTTTCTCACTAGGGATGAAGCACATTCCTAACCTGCCTTTTAAGGGGGATGCTTCGCCAGCCAGGTCCTCTCCTGCACGTACCAGCACACTGATCCAGTCACAGCCAAACAGCTGTCCACGATGGAGTATATCCCATGACAGCCTGAATCAAATGGTTAGCCTAACAGATAAAAATCAGTAGTCTAGGACTGGTTCAGCCTTTAATTCCTTTTATTCATAAAAATTGTGAAAGCTAGGCTGAACCACTGGAAACATTTAACTCAAGACACTGGATTCAGTGGAAAACCCTTAATCCTGTCTGAACCCAAGACAGCCACACCTTAGTATACTGCCCAAGCTAAGGAGTTTAATACAAACATTCTCCAGTTTCTTTTTGATCAGCATGACTAAAACTGAACAATGGAGGCTGGGCACTGTGGCTCACACCTGTAATCCCAGCCCTTTGGGAGGCTGAGGTGGGCGGATAATGAGGTCAGAAGTTTGAGACCAGCATGACCAACATGGTGAAACCTCATCTCTACTAAAAATACAAAAACTAGCTGGGAATGGTGGCATGCTCCTGTGATCCCAGCTACTTAGGAGGCTGAGGCAAGAGAATCACTTGAACCCAGGAGGTGGAAGCTGCAGTGAGCCGAGCCCAGATTCCTGCCACTGCACTCCAGCATGGGCGACTGGTGGTGGGGGGAACAACACTGAACGGCACTTAAAGAATCCGGAAGCTCGCCTAGATAGATGTCTGACTCATCCCAAGACCTGAAAGACAACACCTGGGTACCAAATTTCTTTATTTGAAGGAACGGTACAAAGAACTTAAGTGGGTGTTTTGGTACAACTTATAGAAAAGGTAAAGGAAACCCCAATATGCATGCACTGCCTTGGTGACCAGGGAAGTCATCCTGTGGCTATGGGGAAATTAGCCTAAGGCTTAGCTTTCATTATCACTGTCTCCCAGGGTGTGCTTGTCAAAGAGATATTCTGCCAAGCCAGACTGGGGTGCTCCCATCTTGCGCAAGTTGGTCACGTGGTCACCCAATTCTTTGATGGATTTCACCTGCTCATTCAGATAATGTGTCTCAATGAAGTCACACAACTAGAAAACAATGGGGAAGACAGTTAGTAGTCAGCTTTCCCAATCCCTAAAGCAAATGATTTCCTCCATTTATTTCCTGGGTTTCCAATACTCACATGGGGGTCATTTTTGTCAGTGGCCAGTTTGTGCAGTTCCAGTAATGACTGATTCACATTTTTTTCCAAATGTAATGCACACTCCATCGCATTCAGCCCGCTCTCCCAGTCATCATGGTCTGGTTTCTAAATGAGGAGGACAGGTGAATGCATCTCTACCAACTAACCTACACATCAGCAAGCCTGTCTTATCTAACCACCATGCTTTGGCAAAGGGGACGTTACTATTGGCCTAATTTAGTTTAGATGGTTAAGCCTAAAAAAGCACAAAAGGCAAAAGCCCAGCGTATCATCGTATCATCACTTTATAAGGGCAACTGCTAGTTTAAGTGATTTTGGACACCCCAACACCACTAGATTACTAAGTATGACAGCCGTAGTTCTTTTGTTTACCTTGATATCCTGAAGGAAGATGCGGCCACCTCGTTGGTTCTGCAGTTTCATCAGTTTCTCGGCATGTTCCCTCTCCTCATGAGATTGGTGAAGAAAGTACTTGGCAAAGTTCTTCAAAGCCACATCATCGCGGTCAAAGTAGTAAGACTGAAAGAGGAACACTGAATGTGTTATGTTAGGGATTCCCAGACAGGTGGCTGTTGACAATCTACATGGAGGTGAGATGGTCTTGTGAGCCTAGGCTTCCTTTGCACAGCATGAAGGAATCAGTGCCTAAGGAGACTGGGGGCAGATGAGCTACTGGATTGTACCCAACAGTAGTGCTTCTATTCTAAAATAGAAAACGGAAACTTGACCCTTGAAAGGTTATTTCAAGGAAACTTTAGAATATGATGGGCATTGCCTCGAACACAGAATGTCTTAAGGATCTGTATTAGTGCAGAGAAAACTTCTTATAGCCCGTGCCAAATCTCATTGTTGGATGAGAGGCTGGCTGCCGGAGTACTGACCCTGCACTTAAGTCCTTTTCTCCTCCCTGCGCCTGGATTAACCACGTTAAAGCATGGCTAAAACAAAGAGCTCAGGAGCTTACCAGCTATACTGCGAATTTATAAAATTAAAAACTCCCATGCAAGGTGACAAATATGCACAGTATACTGATGTAAATATACTTTTATAATAATTGTATCACAAAAATTTGATTTTTGGTTTTAGGCATTTCATGTAGTCAAGTGTTTCTGAAAGGCAGTGACTGTCACAGAAATACAGGCTTGTTTTCAAATCCATTTGGAACACATCTATTCTTGGAACAGTTTGGACAATCACAAGGCAACTCTAAGGAAGACTCTCAGGACACCGCCTAAGACCAGAATTTGGGAAAATTGATTCCACTGATCACTGAAAAATTTCTTGCCCAGTAACTGTCGGTTGACTTTACCCAAGAACTAGGGGTTCAATTAGTAGGTCAGAACTCCACACCTCTCACAGTAAGATACATAAAAGATAAATTAAGTTCCCTAGGCGCAAGATCAGGTGACACTGCAAGATCAGGTGACACTTCGGTGACTGCAGAAGGGGCGATTTCTAGAGATATGCTTCAATGCAAGCGGGACTTCAGAGATAAGCAGAGCCGAGAGGTATCATACAGCTGCTCAAGAGGGATCTGCCCACAAGATAAGCCACTACGTGCCAGCCCCCAAGGGGGCTATTCGACAGCTTTACCCAGCAGGCCCGCCGTACCTAGGCGGATGGGGGAGAGGTGGATATCTAAGCAAAAAACGTTGGGTCTCAGGGCCAAATGCCAGAGGCAGAGGAAAAAATGGGAGTGCAAAACCCCACCTTCCTAACCGCAGGTTTCCTGTACAAGCTGCTGCCAAGTCTTACAACCCAGAATTTCTAGACGCCAAGCGCTCTTTAAAAAAAGAAGGGTGTGCAGAGGTGGCCCTGGCCTAGGAGAGAGCGTTCCCAGGGGACAGCTAAGAACCAACTGCCCGGACTTTCCGCGCCAGAGAAGTCCTTGGAGACCTCTAACAGCCTCCATTTTCCAGAAGGGCGCAGGGAGGCGGGGAAGCCCGCGGGCGGCCACACCCCCGGCCCGCCCCAGCGCGCGCCCCGGGAACCGCGCCCGGCCCCCGCCCCCGCCCCGGCCCTGGCCCGCCCGCGCTCACCATGGACAGGTAAACATAGGAGGCGTAGAGCTCCAGGTTGATCTGGCGGTTGATGGCGGCCTCTGAATCCTGGTGGTAGTTCTGGCGCACGTGTGAAGGTGATGCGGTTGTCATGGTGGCTGCTAAGGAGAGGCGGCGGCGGCGGTGGCTGCGCGGCGCTGGAGAGGCGGCGGGGGCCTTGAGGCGGTCCGAGGACGCGGTGTGGAGGTGACGGAGGGCTGGCTGTGGGCGGCCGGCCGGGGTGGGGGACGAGCGCCGGGTTCCGTCCAAGCACTGTTGAAGCAGGAAACCGCGGCGACTCTGGGCGAAGAACGTCTGGCGCAGCGAGCGGCTCGCTGGATCTTATAGCAGCTGCAGCGTCAGGCCCGCCCCGGCCAATCAGCGCCGCCCGCCCCGCGCCCGCTTCTTCCGGTGGGCGCGCGGCCTCGCCCCTGCGGTGGGGGAGGGGCGGCCGCTGGAGGCCCTCGCTCGCTCCCGCGGTGCTGGGGAGCTGGGACGAGTACCGGACGGCCTCGGGGGCAGTGGTGGCGTCTTTGTGCCCCTGAGTCCCGTTTAGTGGAGTTGGAGGGAAGCTGCAAGGAGGCGTGGGAAGCCCACCTCAGAGCCCCCTGATCTAGGGGCTCCCGGGCCTTGGAACGCGGGGGGCGGGGTAGGGGAGGTAATGGGGTGATCCCGATTTCCATTTTCCCGAACGGGCACCCTGAGGCTCCTGGCCTGGGGCATGGTGTTAAAAATCATAGCGGCGGGGAAGCCCTTGTGACATCTTGCTGCAGGTTGGGAAGGTGGAAGGTGGACGCGGGCCTTAGGTGGCCGAGCCCACTTTCTCTTCCTCAGAGTTCAGGAAGGAGCGCGATGGAGAAGTGGGGCGCACGGCCGGTTTCGGGTCTGCCCCTGCCCTTCCGACTCCAGCGACCATGTCCGCCTTTGGTGGAGAGCAAACATGGCTCCGTGTGCAGTTTCTGCAACAAAGGCTGGGCGGGCCGGGTTTCCCTAGGGAGGAGGACCGCCTCCCTTCGGGGGTCGTGGGGGTGAGCCACCGGGGCCTCCGAGAGAATCGCTAGTGTCGCTTCTCACCCAAGGGACATATCTCGGGTTAGAAATAAAGGAGAAGCGACAGGAGAAGCGACGTGGATCTAAAGGCAAAGCCCATCCTGAGGCCTTTTCAAAATGGCCTCTTATCGGCCCCACTGCGTGGCCCTATTGGGTAACCCTGGGTGTGTCATTGGAGAGAAGCTGATGGGGTTGGTGGCGGGCGACAGGTGGAAGAGACCCCCGGAGGGGCGGAGCCAGCGTGTGTGGCCTGCAGCTGAGTCCCAGGCACAGGGTGGATGTGAATTTATGGGTGGCCGAGCTGGAGCTAGGCCCTGCCCCTACCTAGATACTGGATTCGGGGTCCAATGTTCTCTCGCGTTTTTTGACGCATCGGTGGAAGAACTATCAAGATCATTTTCAGGATGCTAACAAACCTGCAGCTAGAAGCTGGACTTCCAAACCTTATTTTTAAAAAGCAACTCTACTGAAATATTAAAACAAATTGCCGATGGAATTAGGGTGATTTTTCACTGTTATTTAAAAATTCACCTATGTGCCGGCTATGTGCCTGGCGCGGTGGCTCACGCCTGTAATTCCAGCACTTTGGGAGGCCGAGGAGGGTGGATCACCTGAGGTCGGGAGTTCAAGACCAGCCTGACCAACATGGAGAAACCTCACCTCTACTAAAAATACAAAAAATTTTCGGGGCGTGGTGGGGCATACCTATAATCCTAGTTACACTCCAGCCTGGGCAACAAGAGTGAAACTCCGTTTCAAAAAAAACAAAAAACACCTATGTTATTTGCAGGAAAAACGTTCTAGTGGTGCTAGAGCAACAAAAATAAGGTAAACAGTAGAATGCTGCTAGACAGTGAGTACCTTACCCGGTCTGGGCTAGGAGGAGGTCAAGGAAGCCTTCCCGAATTGAGACACCTGAGCTAAGTTTGAAGAAAAAATTAAGAAGGTGAAGTGCGGGAGGGAAAGGGGGAAGGGAATTCGGAGCAGAATGAACAGCATATGCAAAGGTGTGAAGATGAAATGCACGGCCTGTTCAAGCTACCTTAAGAAAGTATGTTGGCCTGGGGCGCGGTGGCTCATACCTG